TCCTGTCCTCACTGCCTGGTCCATCCTGTCCTCACTGCCTGGTCCATCCTGTCCTCACTGCCTGGTCCATCCTGTTGTCACTGCCTGGTCCATCCTGTTTTACATGCCTGGCTCTCCTCTCCCCTAAAGGCCATCGTAGCTTTGGTGACACTCTTCTGAAAGATTTTCCAGCACCTCCTGCAACTGGCAAGCTATCCAGCCTTCAGTACTCAACTCAAATGTTGCCCTCCTCCAGGAAGTCTTCCCTGACCACATCCTAACAAGCTTGGCTGGCTCAATGTTTATCTGGACTTCTACTGCCCAAGTGGGTCCTTGACAAAGTGCAGTTCCCTTGATACTGGAGCGTGGTCACTCTGAGAGGACCTGTGTGGGTCCCCGGGGCTACCACAGGCCTGGGGTATAGAGGGAGCCCTGCTGGGCTTTGCTTCTGCAGCCAGGGTCCAGGGCAGTGCAGGGGACAGAGGTCAGTGATCCTGAATCTACTCTGTCGACCACCATGCTCTCCAGCCAATCCGGGGCTGCCAGCAGCGAAGGCAGGGGCAGATGCTGCCTCAGACATCACGCTCTGCTGTAACAGAAACTCCACAAGTGTGGGGCTTTCCCAGATGCTTATTCTCTCGTAGTTTAAGAGGACAGAAATCCCAGAGGTACGTGGTTTGAATCTACCAGGTGTTCTGCTGGAGAAGGAGGAGCAATCTCCTCCTGTACCTGTCAGATCTGATTTACAGTAAACACACACACACACACACACACACACACACACACAGAGGACAGAAATCCATGTTCAGGGTGCTGGTTTTGGGGAGGCTCTCTCTCTGTGCCTCCCGGTTCTAGGCATTTCCTAGTGAAGGGACCTAGGTCCAAAGGACGTACTCCACTCTGGCTCGTATTTCTTGGAAGTGTGAAGGTCATCCACCCCTCTGCTGGTCTCTCTCTCCTCTCTCTTGAGATTAAAGGTGCTGCAGGCCCCTGACATCACCATTACCTCACCCTCCACCCCCTTACAGCTGATTGGCCAATCACATCATGAGCGTCACCATATAACGACCTTATACTCCATCACATCCAAACACCTAGAGTCACAGTCCTTCCAAGTACCACTTATCTCGGGGACATGGTTCGGTCCATGACTGATGCAGACATCAGAGGGCTTGGTCCAGCTGGAGATGACCAACCAGACACTGTCCTGGGGCCAAGGATCTCCCCGCTGTCCCAGGCCTGCACACTGCAGAGCCAAAGCGCCCCGGGATCCCATTCTTTCCTAGATAGAGTGGGCCTCAGGCCCGGGACTCTCCGTTCTCCTGAGAACCAGCATTCTGGCCTAAGAACAGGACCTGGCTGGCCAGCCCCTCCACACCCTCAGGACAAACCCCCTCAATAACTCAACTCAAGGCCTGGGAGTAAATGCCCGCGGTGACCCTAACAATGGGCTCAGGGGTGTCAGAGGTGGTGAGGACGGTACAGGACAGGGCACGTTTCAGAGTCGTTGTTCAGAAGGTCACTTTGCTATGAGTGGTAGCTGACCAGATGGCACCTAACAACAACAACATAACGACCTGTAAACACCCACACCCATCGCTGTGGCATCTTCCGAGGCTGTAAACTGCAGGGTTTACACTGGTGTTGGTTTCTGACTGTCAGAGGGGCACCTCAGGCCTAGCAGCGTACAACCCCACACACCACCCGCACGGCTCCCGAGGGACCCTGTCGGACAGGAGGACTGCCCCACTGGGCTTCCAAGGCTGTCCTGGTGGACGCAGACGGCCCTTCTTCTCCTCCCACAGAGCACTTGGGGGGTTCGAACTGCTCACCTTTCAGCTAGCAGTCAAGTGCTATAGCCATTGTGCTATCAGAGCTCCTCTGCCCTCTGAACAGCCAGGGAAGGTCTCTGGTCCAGCCTCCAGCCAGGACACTCAGCTGATCTACCCCACAGACTTCAGCAACAAAAAACTGCACACTGCCCTCATACTTGACTGACCTGAGGGTGTCCTGCAGGACCTCCCGGTGCCCTCTGGAACTGGCCTGTGAGAGGGCAGACTAAAGGGGTACAGAAGAGACAAGGACAGCTCCCCCTGGGCCCTTCAGGGAGAACATGGCCTTGTTGGCACCCTGAATATGGGTGACTCCCCCCCCCCAGAGCTGGCCAACAGGAAAGGTCTGTGGTTCTAAGCCCCACAGTTCGTGGTGACCAGTCACTGCTGTCCCAGGAGACTTGTCCAAGCTCCAGGGTGGATGGAGCCCACTGGCTGACAGCAGAAGTGACCACTCACGGTCTCACCTGTGTCCAGCCTCACTTCCCAGGGATTCTCTCATCCATTCCTTCTACAGCCCAACGCCCTTGGGCCATCTAGAACCATCTGCAAAATGCTGGCAGGTGGTGAGGACTGTGGGGCAGAAGAAACACCTCCCAGGAACTGCCGCCCAGGCAGCCGGGCGAGCGCTCAGGACGGACAAGGACCGTACCTTCCAGTTGGGCTCGGAGCGCTGCATGAATTCCACTCCTTCCTTGATTTCCGCCTTCATCTCGTGGATGTGGGCCACCGTGTGCACTGACCACGCGTCCGTCGGGTCAATAGACAGGGCCTGCGGGGGAGGGGAAACGAGTGCTGGGGAGGAGGGTCGGTCAGGCCTCCAGGGGGCTGTGAGGGAGCGTGGCGGGGATGGAACAAGCGCCAGGATGGGCTCTAACACCACAGCACATCCAATCACAGCGAGAGCTAAATAATAACCACCCTCCCAACAATAGTAACAGCGAAACAGTAACCATCTCAATAACAGTAACAACGGCGTAAGAGAATACGCCGTCCCCTTTTCCTTATGACTCAGGGTGAAGTCTCTCTCAGGGAGGAGTGATAGGGAATGGCAAAGGATACACTGACAAAGAAGATTAATCAGAACTGGCTTTGACAAGCACTGTGGCATTTGGACAAGAACACCCTGGGAGGAGGGTAGAGAGAATAGTGCAACAATGAATGAATGGGAACTCCAAATCTCTGTAAATGTTTATGAAAATTAATAAAATATAATTATAGAAAAAAAATAACAGTAACAACAAAAAGAACCATCCCAATACAAGCAAAACATTAACCACATCATTAACAGAAACAGCAAAGCAGTAACTGTCCAGCAATAAGAGAAGGATAACCATGCCAATAATAATAACAACAAAATAATAATACACCAAAACATGAGCCACATCAATGTCAACAATGAAACAATAACCATCCCAGTAACAACCTTTCATTAATAATAACAACAACAAAACAGTAACCACCGGAGAAACAGACCTATGCACCCACTGTCCTGATAATAATAACAACAATAAAACAGTAACTATCCCAGTAATTCTCACCACCGGACCAATCGGCAGCATCAGGATGGATGGCAAAGAGATTGAGATTGTTCACAGCTTCAGTTTGCTCGGCTCCACGGTCAACACTCTTGGGACCAGTAGTCAGGAAATAAAAAAAACGTATTGCGATGGGAAAGTCTGCGGTTAGGGACCTCTCCAAAATACTGAAGAGCAACAGTGTCTCTCTGGAGAGTAAGGTCTGCCTGATACAGGCCGTGGTTTTTGCAATCACTTGTTATGCATCAGAGAGTTGGACAATGACTAGGGAGGATGGAAGGAGAATTGACGCCTTTGAGCTGTGGTGCTGGAGAAGAGTATTGAATGTACCACGGACTGCCAAGAAAACAAACAGATTCATCGTAGAGAGGATTAAACCAGGCTGCTCCTTGGAGGCAAGGATTCTGGGGCTTTGTCTGACATACTTTGGACACGTTGTAAGGAGAGACAGGTCTTTAGAGAGGGACATCATGCTTGGGAGGGTGGAGGGACAGCGCAGGAGGGGAAGACCCTCTATGAGGTGGACTGATTCAGTGACTGGGGTACTCGGGATGGGTTTGTCGGAGGCAGTGAGATTGGCACAGGATAGAGCACGGTTTAGGGCTGTTGTACATAGGGTCACTATGAGTCGCAAACGACTCGACGGCACATAACAACAACATCCCAATAATAACAATATAACAATAACTATCCCAATAATAACAATAAAACAGTGACAACTCCAATAATTATAACTGCTATGAAACAGTTCTGTCTACAACACCAAATTACCTTAATAAAAATAAGGGACCAGCCCCAAAATAACAAGAACCAGCCTGCTGCCCACTTACCACGTGCCTTGTGCTCACCCGTTAATGAGCAAACCAGCCCCAGAACGCTACCAAGGCAGGCGTTGTGCTAGGCTGCCTTCAAAGCTGTCCCTGCACACACCGGCTAAATGCTTTCTGTCCAGCCACCCCCATGACCAGCTGCAGGCCAGACCACTGGGATTCAGAGTTACCATGAGCTGACCTTCAGAAGGAGACAGCCAGGCCCTTCCACCTGGTCCATCTTAGCCTCGCCATTTCCCAAAGCCTGCTTGGCATCAAGTGGCACACGGCCTCCATCGAAGGGCAAGTGGTGGCTGTGCACAGGGTGCCCGGCCTGGACTCAGAGCTGAACCTCCCATGTGCAACCACCAGTGCCCCCCCCTCCATGGTAAGTACCACTGTCCATTTCACAGGCTCTCAGGGTCCCCACAGCAGGGGACCACCTATGACACCTGTCCGTGGGGACTGCAGCAGAGACGGTGTGGACACTGTCCACTTGCAGGCAATCCAGTGCTTCTGCAGCGTCTCTGCCTCTGCCCATCGCGTGCACGCAATAACCACTCAGGTGGCTTCTTCCGGCTCAGAAAGAGCTGGTCCTGAAGGGAAACAAGGACCTTTCCCCACAACCACACCGAGAGCTGCCTTCCTCTATGCCACCTCATACAGGGTTCCTCCTCTCCTGCGCTGTCCCTCCACCCTCCCAAGCATGACATCTTCCTCCAAGGACTTTACAACATGTCCAAAGTATTTCAGACGAACCTTCAGGAGCTGGTTTAACCCTCTCTAGGATGAACCTGTTCAGTTTCTTAGCAGTCCAACATGTGTATATTTTCTGTTAGGTGCCTTCAAGTGGAGTACAACTCAGAACAACCCTGTGAACAGCACATCTGCATCATGTCCTATCCGTGTCATCCTCGTCTTCTCTGACACCCTTGAGCCTAATTCTGCAGTCACTGTGTCAATCCATCTAGATAAGGGTCTTCCTCTGTTTCACTGACCCCATTTTTCCTCCAAGGAGCACTCTGGCTGCACTTTCTCTAAGACACATCTGTTTGTTCTCTTGGCAGTACATGGGATGTTCAGTGCTCTCCTCCAACACCACAGCCCAAAGGCATCAGTTCTTCTTCTGTCATCTTTATTCATTGCCCAGCTCTCCGATGCATAGCAAGTGATTGAAAAGACCATGGCCCAAATCAGGTGTACTTTAGTCCTCAAACTGACATCATTGTTCCTCAGGACTTTGAAGAGGTCCAAAGACTGCAGACTTTCCCACTGAAATACATCTCCTGATCTCCTGACTGCTGATACTAAGGTTGTGGGTCCAAGTAAGACAAAATTATTGACAATCTTAATCTTTTTTGCATCTATCATGATATTGCTTATTGGCCCAGTGGTGAGGATTTTTGTTTTCTTGACATTGAGATGCAACCCATATTGAAGGCTGCATTCTTTGATTTTATGCAGCAAGTGCTTCAAGTGTTCTTCACTTCCAGCAAGCAAGGTTACGGCGTCTGCATAACAGGTTATAGATGAGACTTCTTCTGATCCTGAGGCCATAATCTTCTTCATAGAGTCCAGCTTCTAGAATGAATTGCTCAGCATACAGACTGAATAGGTATGAAGAAAGGATACAACCCTGATGCACCCCTTTCTTGATTCGGGGCCATGCAGGGTTCCCTTACTGTATCTGGACAACAGCCTCTTGGCCTAGATAGAGGAGTTGTATGAGCATAATTAGTGCTCTGGGACTCCCACTCTTCTCAATGTCAGTCATAGCTTGTCATGATCCACACAGTCCAAGGCCTCCCACAGAAAACAACGCACAAATCAACAAATAAAGCACAGGAAATGCAGATTCTGGGGGAGCATTCAATCCACGGCGGTGGTATCGTCAGTGCCCTTCAGTAACACAAATGAGAGCACTCCTTCACTTGTCCTTATTCACATACAGCTCACCCGTGCACGTGGGGCATGGGAAACACCACAGATTGGGCTCAGTCCACCCTCGTTCTCCAAGACATCTCTGCTTTCAGCACTGAAGGAGGTCTCTCCAGCAGCCCTGCCCAGTGTACACGTCCTGACATCATCCCTAGGCATGCCTGTGACCACATCACTCCTCACCTGTGTGTCCCACACTTTTATAGAGCGTCCACGGTGTCTACCACATTCACAGGGTGTCCATGGTTTTGACCATGTTTACAGAGAGTCCACGGTGTGCACCACATTCACGGGTGTCCACAGCGTCTACCACATTTACAGAGTGTCTGCGGCGTTTACCACATTGACAGGGTAATAACCACATTTATGGGGTGTCCATGGCATCTACCACATTAACAGGGTGTCTGTAGTATCCAACACATTAACAGGGTGTCCACGGCATCGACCCCATTGACAGGGTGTCCACAGCATCCACTACTTTGACGGGTGTCCACAGCATCTACCACATTGATGGGGTGGTGTCCACGGGGTCTACCACACTGATGGGATGTCCACGGTGTCCACTACATTTATGGGGTGTCCACTGCATCTACTTGGGTGTCAGTGAGTGGGGAGTCCACCCGGGCCCCAGCCCACCCCCACCTCACTTCAGCCTCCCACGCCGCCCTTCTCAGGAGAGCCTGGGAGCTCTTCCCCTGGCCCAGCCTCTGCAGGGTCTCCTGTCCCCACCTCTTGCTCTGCCCGCTCACCTGGATCCAGGAGATGGGCTGTGTGGACCCCACATGTGAGGTTGCCAAGGACAGGCACTTTGAGAGTCTGCAGGGCACAGCCCAGCCACTGGGGGTACTGTAACCCCTCCAGGAAGTCACAGCAGAAAGCTGGCTTTCCTATGTCCACTCACAGGGCAGGGCCACTCCAGGGTCCCACAGCCCCACCTAGATCCCAGCCTCTCCTTTCTGACAGGTTCCCAGAGGCTCTTCCAGCTTCCTGGAGCAAAGTCTAAATACTGCACCATTTTACAACAATCATCAAGTCCAGTCTGGCCCTCTCTAGGCTTTGACTCCATCACCCTGCCCACCCACTTGGGGTGCAGCCTTGATCTCTCTAGAACCAGCCATGCCTGCCTGTTCCTGCCTCAACCACTCACAGCACACAGTACCCACTCTGTCCCCAACCCCAGGCACATGCCCAGCATGCAGACGGTCAGCACCCACAGACTCTGGCCACCAGAGCTGCCCCTCTCTCGGCCCAGGGCCCGAGCGGCTCTCCCGGCCCAGGGCCCGTGCGGCTCTCCCGGCCCAGGGCCCAAGCGGTTCTCTCTGCCCAGGGCCTGAGTGGTCCCCATTAGCACTTGGTCTTCCGGCTCAGCAGCTGCCTGTGATGATGCTGGAGCCAGGGTAACGCTGGTCGTGAGCAGGAGGGGGCAAGGAGTGGCCCTCCCCCCTTTCTGCCCCTGTGTTGAGAGAAGTGGGGCGGTCACGTTTGTCACCACAAAGACCCTCTCAGCCCTGGTCCTGAGTAAAATAAAGACCCCTGCCCATTCTTGGAGTCTGGACATTCAGATTAGTCTTTGGAGACCCCTGGGCCTGGGGAGGGGGCTGTACGCCTGGCAGTTCCGGGTGCTGGTCAGTGTGAACGGCTCAAGGGCAGATGTCAGGTGGAGGCCTGGCCAGGAACCCAGCTCCACCTGCCCTGGGGAAGCCTGGCCTTGCTGTGCACCTGGGCCCTGTTCTGAGTGCCCCGCGGTGGCCGAGTACCGGCAGAGACGAGTGGACAAGGGCGGTTCAGGAGCTATGGTCACCCCATCCCGACTTGGGGCTCTGTTTCTGCCTGTTTGGGAAGAGGGCCTGGAGGGGGGCAGGTGGCCAGTTCTAGAGACACAAAAGATGCCTGCCTCCAGGTTGGCCAGCACAGCCATGGACACGGGAGGCCCAGGCCGAGCAGGACAGCTCAACATCTCACAGTGCACCTTGACCACCACTGCGTCCTCTGTGATGGTGCCCGGTACACAACAACTATGTCCTCGGCTCCTGACTGAGAGGTTGGTGGTTTGAACTCTCCCAGCGGTGCTTTGGGAGAACAGGCCTGGTGAGTGGCTTCCATGAAGCCCACAGCCTGAGGAACAAACACTAAGGGGCAGCTCAACAAGTCCCCCGTGAGCGTGTCCCTCTGGACATGGTGGTCCAGGGAAGGCCCCCACCCTCTCAGAGACCGATGGAACTGCTGCTGCACTCCATGGACTCCTGGCACTGTGAGTGACCCCAGGAAACGTGGTGTCTGCGGGGAGAGGACCCACATTCAGACACACTTCATCTTCTCCCACAGCCCAGGACAAGACAAAGATGCCTTAGAAGACAAAGCTGGAGGAATCCCAAGATCGCCATAGCCTCAGAAGAGGGTGACTCAGCTTCCCCGAGCCTTGTCCTCTCTGACCGCCTACGATAACCCTGTTTGGCGTGCCAGGTGGGCCATGGCTCTGGAGACCTGAGGATGGTGGCAGGGGCAGCCATGGGCATCTGCTAAGCCCTCAATGAAGAAATGGCAGCTACCGTTTCACACGGCCACCCCAACAACTCTGAGAAGACAGATCCCAGAAGGAAGCAACTTGCTGGGCTTCCACACAAATAGGCCGGGTCTGCTCCCGTCAGGAGGAACCTTGTGTTCTCTCCCTGCCCAGCGGGCTGCTCCTTGGAGTATCGGGCACCTCGGGCTGGGGTCCACTCACCTCCTTGGCGAGCTTTTCCGCCTGGTCGTAGAAATTGGTTTCCATCAACCCAAAGGAATAAATGCCTTTCACATAGCTGAAAACAGAAAAGAAAGGGTTGGGGTTTTTTTGTTTTGTTTTATAATGGCGCATGTGCACACAGTGAAGTGATTCCGTGACCAGGACGGAGACAGTGTGCTGGTGTCCAGACCCGCGGGGCCGCATGCAAGGAGAGCTGCAGCAGGCCAGGGACCGAGTCAACAATGGTGTCATGTCACCTGGTGAGATGTGGCATGAGGCCTCGGCCGGACTTGGTGGTCTCAAGGGCAGGGCTCAGGCACGCGGGGAGGGGCAGCTCGGAAAAGGGGCCTGAGAATAAGTGAACAACTCCAAGAACACAGTCAAGGCCACTGAGCCGTACACTGAGAAACAGGCGAACTGGCATATGGTGGTTGTGTGCACTTTCAACAACAGAACAGGCAATAAATTACCATAAGAAAGGCAGAGAAGTACAGCAATAAATGAATGGAAATCCAAATTCTCTGCAAATGTTCCTTAAAATTATTTTAAAAAAGAAAAGAAAAAGAAAGGCAGAGAGAACCACAGGCGCTGGGGGTTCCAGCTGGTGCTCACCTGCTAAGGGGGATGCCAGGTGTCCAGAAGGGGTAGACGCGGGCCACAGAATCGCGCATCTGGGTCTGGTAGCCCAGGTAGAAGTAGGCATCGTGGGCGAACTTGAGGGCCAGCATGTCCGTCGGGTGGTCACGGAGAATGTCCTCCCACAGGTCACAGGCTTTCGGGAAGTTCCTGCAGGTCAAGCAGAGGGCTCGGCATCAGGGGCCACACGGCCCGACCAGGATGCAGTGAGAGGCAGGCGCCTCCAAGGCCCTGGCATGTGGAACTGAAGAACACGGCAGTGCCTCTCTTGAGTAAGGAGCCCTGAAGGCCCAATGGGTAGTGAAGGTATCAGGCTGTTAATGGGAACGTCATTGGTTCAAAGCCAGCAGTTGGCCCAAGGGAGGAAGATGGGGAATCTCTCCCTGCAAAGATTCACAGCATCAGAAACCTCAGGAAGACAACAAGGAGTTAGAATGGACTTGATGAGGGAGCTCTGGGGGCCTAGTGGCAAGAAGCTACATTGCAATCCCAGAGGTACATGGTTCAAATCCAACAGATGCTCTGCTGGAGAAGGAGGGGCAATCTCCTCCTATACCTATGTCAGATTCTATTTGACAGCACACACACACACACACACACACACACAAAAGAATTAAAAAAGAAAGAAAGAATGGGCTTGATAATTGTGAGTTCAGTGGGTCAGGTAAGGAGCGCCGGTGTTGCAGTGGGTTGAGTGCTGTCGGGCTGTTAACCAAAAGGTTGGCAGTTCGATGCCACCAGCAGCCATTCTTTGGGAGAGAGATGTGCCAGTCTGTTTCTGTCAAGATTCCATCCTTGAAAACCCCAGGAGGCCGCGTTCCTCTCTCGAGTCGCTACTAGCTGGAAGTGGCCGGACAGTGGTGGTTACGTGAGGTGCCGGCACAGGACATCTTCAAAGCAGGAGGAAAGCTTCCTTAGAATTCAAGTTCAAAGAAAAATTGTCTGGTGTAGGTGAAAGAAAGTGTGAATAAATGGAACAGAAAGTGAACTCGCTGTGGACCTTTCACCCAAACAACATAATAATAAAAGAGCAAAGACCAGGGGGGAAAAAGAACAGGAAACTGGTTTAACAGCTTGTCAAATGGTTTCACCTGTGTCCACGAACCAGCTCTGGGGCTCCAAGATGGAGCCACACGCTGGCACTCACACTGCGACCCCACGCGCCTGGCTCACTAGAACCTTTGTTGTCACTGCTCCTGGACCTCTGTGCCAGCAGTTCAGGTCCCTGAGGCACAGCGGGCCACCTCACCGACCGTCCTCACCCAGCTTCTGTGAGAGGCTCCCCAGGTGGGAATGATCACGGAGACAGGGAGATGGCTCTGCTACTGGTGTGATGGAAACAAACCCCCAAACATCCAGTCCACTACTGTCCAGTCAACTCCAACTCATCGAGACCCACTGGGCCTCAGAGGCGGTCAATCTTCACAGGAGAGAGCGGCACACCTTTCTCATTGAGGGCGGCTGATGGACTCGAACCACCAACCTGCCACTTAGCAGTCACAATTACATTTAACAATTATTTAACAATTAGGATACGAGGATAGAAGGAGAACTGATGCCTTTGAGCTGTGGTGCTGGAGAAGAGGGTTGAGTGTACCATGGACTGCTAGGAAAACAAACAGATTCGTCCTGGAAAGAGTTAAACCAGGTGGCTTCTTGGAGGCAAGGATTCTGAGGCTTTGTCTGACATACTCTGGCCATGTTATAAGGAGGGACCGGTCCTTGGAGAAGGACATCATGCTTGGGAGGGTGGAGGGACGGCGCAGGAGGGGAAGGCCCTCTATGAGGTGGACTGATTCAGTGACTGGGGTAATCGGGATGGGAGTGTCAGAGACAGTGCGATTGGCACAGGACAGAGCAGAGTTTAGGGCTGTTGTTCATAGGGTCGCTAAGAGTTGCAAGTGACTTGACGGCACATAACAACAACAACAACAATTATGAATATAACACATCTGCCACAATATGCGCTATGCCATCGGGTTCCCTGTAATGGAAATCTGAACAAATTTACATAATGAAATGAAAAATGTCGGCTATCAGCTTCCTCACAGGCTGGCCAGGCACCTCTCACCCCTTGGCGAAGGTCTCCACTGCGGACACATGCAGCCGCTCCCTCTGGGTCAGTGGCTGTGCTTTCGAATCCTCCACCATCGTCTGCAGGGCCCGGGCCAGCTCCTGGTCCAGCCTCACGGAGGTGCCGGTGCCAATCAGCAGGAGGCCATTGGAGATGACACGCCCCATCGCTGAGGAGAAGGTGGGAAACAGGTGGTCATTCAGCTAGCCCCGCCCACCCCAAAGGCCTGCTGGACTGCACCTGAGTCACCCTGATGTCCTCAGCACGCCCCTCTCGAGGTAGACTGCTCAAGGCTGTCTGCAGGCCCCGGCCTGGGTGACCCTATCAGCTCATATTATTAGATCCCTGGGGCTCTACTGTGCAGGTTCCTGGGTGCCACTGGGGTGTCCCGGCCACACCATGACTAAGGTAGTCAGTGAGGTCAGCTGCTAGCTCAGGACAAAGGCCCAGGACCCAGCTTCTGACCTGGACCTTGAGGTCTGCTCAGAGCCTGCTCTGCCACCTCTCTACAGGCCACTGTGTCCTGACCAATTAGTAATGGCCTCCTGCCCTCAGCATCAGGGTGCAGGGGGTATCCTGGTGCCCTGTCCCTCTCGTCTCCTCTTCCCCAGGCCCAGAGCTTTCCACCACACTGGGGCCAGTGACCTAAGGTTCCAGAGGGCACTGTGCTCACCTCCATGCCCACTGTTCACAGGTCACCTCCACCCATCTGCCAGGCTCCCAGCTCCCCACCCCAGCCTGACAAAGGCCCTTGAATCAGGAAACCAGAGGAGACCAGCCTCCTGACCCAGCAGGCCAGCACTCACTGAAGTTCGGGTCTGCCGCTCTGAGCTTCGCCAGGCAGCCCTCGAGGCCCCCGAGGCTCTTGTCATTGGTCCACTTGACATACTGGAAAAGGGACAAAACACAGCTGTCCTCCCGCAGCCCCACACCCATGGTACTTAAGACATGAAACCAAACCTCGACCTCAATTTCTTTCTAGACCATTTGCATATCTCCAGGACTCTTATCTCAACATCAGAAAACAAAAATTCTCATCACTGGACTGACAGGCAACATTATGATACAGAAAATACTGAAGTTGTCAACAACTTCATCTTACTTGGATCCACACACCAACACCCTTTGCCCAGCAGTCAGGAGAGCCAGAGAAGCTCTCTGGAGACTGGGAAATTCTGTAGTCAGACACCTCCAAATTATTGGGGAGCAACGATGTCAGTTTGAGAACTAAGGTGCACCTGATTCAGGCCATGGTCTTTTCAGTTACTTGCTATGCATCAGGGCTAATGAATAAGGATGACAGAAGAATTGGTTCCTTAGAGGTGTGCTGTTGGAGAAGAGCACTGAACATCTCATGGACTGTGAAAAGAACAAACATACGTTTTGGAGAAGGTGAAGCCATAGTGTTTCCTGGAGGCAAAGATGACAAAGCTTCATCTCACATTCTCTGGGCATGTTTCTAGGAGAGGTTATTCCTTAGGCAGGGACATCATGCTTGGTAAGGTGGGGGGACGGCAAAGGAGAGGAAGACCTTCAACCAGATGGATGACACAGTGACTGCAGCAATGAGCTCAAGTGTGTCAAAGATGGTGAGGACAGAACAGGACAGGACAGGGTTCAGATCTGTGGTTCACAGGGTCACTAGGAGTCAAAGGCACCTAATAACAACCTTAAGAAAGCATAACGTGGTTGACAGCACATGAAAAGAAGTATGTGAAGAGATGAATGCAGAGTGGGAGGCAGTTTTAAAGAGAGGAAACAGCAAAAAGACATTCTTCCTGCTCTCCAACGCCAGCTTCTTCAGTCGGAGGCCCTCCCCCTCCCGTCCGAGGGACTCTGGTGTCCCTTTGATGCTGGAAGCGATGCCACAGGTATTTAGATACCAGCCAGATCCCCCAGAGGGAAGGGGTTTCAGCCAAGTCGCCTGACCAACACACAGTAAGCCTCTGCTTCTCAAAGGACTGAGGAAGACCCTCAATGAGACGCCAGACAGGATGGCTGCCTCCACAAGGTCAAGCGTGGGTCAGGTGGGGTGTCCTGATGCTCGCACGCTGTTATGAGTCATAAGCAACTCTACAACATCTAACAAGAGGCACTACAGGGGGCCTATTAGGAGTTGAACTGCATGCCCCAATAAGATCTGCTGTGCTCCTAAGGCCCAGTGCCGGGGATGGTGGCCACTGTTTGGAAAGAGGGTCTCTGCCTATGCAGTTGTTACCTGAATAAGCCTGACCACTGATGTACATAGCAGAGGTGCAAACCAACAGTAACAAAGTCACACGGGAAAAGAATGTCACGTGAAGAAGCAAATGCAAGTCAAGGAAGATAAAGAAATTCCGGGGTTCTCAGAAGCTGGGAGAGAGCAGGAAGGGCCTCTCCTGAGAGTGGACAGAGCGCGTGGCCTGCTGCGGCCACGGATCCAGACCCCCAGCCGAAAGGACTCGGGGCGGGGGACACACACATTCCTGCTCTTACAATTTCCCCCCGTTCGTGGTGTTTTTTAAAAATGAGAGTCCCAGGGAACAAATACTGCCCCTCTTATCACTCCTTGTAAAAAGTAACCATAATAAATATCCATTCCAGAAAGTGATTAAAAACGCTGTGAGGAAACTCATCTCCCACAGTTTTGATCCCACCACTGGGTGTACAGGGAGGCCCAGGAGAGCCAGCCACACGGGCTGCCTTGTTTAGCCGGAGAGGGTGCAGGCGAACTATTCTCTTACTCCTTTTCCACGTTCACACTCAACATCACGTTGGAGAAGCAACTCAAAGCTGGCCCTCTAGCAGCTTGTCAAAGGCTGTAAATTGCTGGCGGTGGGGAGGGGGATGGCCCATCTTCCTCACACACAGCGACTGGTGGGTTCGAACTGTCCACCTCTGGTGTTGTGTACACACTAAACCAGCTGCTCCCATGGTGGGAAGCCTTTGCACTGCCTCCTTTAGGAGGCTGTGTGGAAGTCCGACACATGCTCTGCTTGTCACAGCCCTCACTGCCTCTGTCTCCTCACTCGTTGTTTTGGTCTGGATGGGCATTTACAGAGCAAACCAGTCTTCCATTAAACAGTTCTCATTTATTTTGCTTTGTCGCACATGTTTTGCTTTGTGGAGTCTGGCAGCATGGCTCATAGTGGACTGCGAGGCAGGCCAAGAGGTTGAGAGTCTCCAGGGGTTCAAGTCCACTCAGCAAGAAAGGTGAGCAGTGTCACCCGTTCAGATCCACGGCTCTAACTACCCAGTGGGGCACTAGAAGTCAGAACGGGCTCCAGGCAGTGAGTGAGTCCACTTCTTGACTGTTTCATGACATTAGGTGCAGTCCCTTCAATAAAGCAATGCTCCTCCCACTTCCTGCTTGGACTTTCGGTTTCCACTGTCCTCCTTGCCTGCCCCTTCCTGCCTCTGGGGCTTTGTTTTGAGACAAATGCCTTTGGAGCACTGGGTCCTGGGCAGTGAACTGTTCTGATGATCAGTCCTCACTGAGTGACCATGACCATGGCCTGTCAGGTGTATTGTTTGGCTGAAAGGTGATCCCCTGGGGTGGGTTCCTATCCTTTCTTAATGCATATTTTCTTAAAATCTGATACCAAATTGCACAATGCACTGGAGTCCAATACATGCCCTTTCTGCTACATAACCTGAATCTTCATAGAACGAGCCCTCAATGTCTGTGAGGTTAGGAGGTGAGGGTAGGTTGGTGCAGACCCTCAAAGACCCGTGTTCTAGTGCAGGTCAAGAGGCCAGCAGAAAGCCGGACACAACAGCACAGGCTAGGAGCACAGGCTGCCGAGCCCAGGACACACACTACCCACGCCAGGCAGTCAGCTGTGACTCACAGCCTCTCTGGAGGACAGAGCAGAACTGCCCAGAGGGTTCATAAGCCTGTTCTCTTCACAGAAGCCAGTGGCCTCTGTCCTCTTCACAGAAGCAGGTAACCTCATCTTTCTCTCCAGGAGCAGCTGGTGGACTCGAACCCCTGACCTTTCAGTCAGCAGCCCAGCATTCCACCGCTGTGTCATCAGATTCCGTGTCACAAACCAAGTGTTCCAAAAGGTCAAGGAGGCCAGAGCTCCTCTCAGCGGCATACCTGGGTCAGGGTGGCATCAAACAGCTTGCAGGCCTCATTGCTGGGGGTGGACAGCGGGAGTCCAGCGTCCTTCCATGCCTAGAAAGAGCAGCACAGAGCAGGACAAGGCATCAGGCCTTGGAACCCTGGCCCCCAACGACCCCCGCAACCCCACAGATCTCCAACACCTACGCTGGTGGGTTTCAGGATAATGGGATCTCCCAGTCATAGTGCAGGCCTGAGGGGGTAAGCTGGGGGCAGGCAGACCCCAATTCCAATCCCCACTGCCTGGAACCGCTCAGATCCTGCCTGCCCGTAAAATGGACCCATGAGGGCAGAATGAAGCGAGTAGTAGCATGGCCCTTGAGGAGCTGGGGCGGGGAAGGCAGGTGGGAGGCTGGGCACAGGCAGGACTCTGGACATGCACTTGGGTGACCTCTTGCTCTGCCTCAACAGACAGGGCTTTCAAGTATGCCCTGAGGCTCCTCAAGTTCCAGGACTGTTTGATCTAGTAGCTGCCTTTGGCATACTGCCCGTGGCCAGCTGGTGATGGCGCAGTGACCACCTGCCCACCTGGATTGTGTATTGATTGCATGGTGTTGTCACAGGCAGGTTCTCAATGCCCTCTGTCTTCCTCATCTGCAAAATGGGCACAGCCCCAGATGGGTAACCCTGGAGACTTGGGCCTTTACAAATGCCTAATGCACTGCTGGGCCAGGCCTGGTCACTGGTTGACTTTCTACCAGTCTGTGAGTGTTTCCATGGGTTCCAGTCAAGGAGCCCCAGTCTCTGTGTTGAGCTTCCACTGAGTGGGGAGCCTGTGCGCCCCTACAACAGCCCTCCCGACCCGACAAGCGCCTCCGCCTCTGCGTGCTCCGGCCAGGTCCTCTGCCCGTGCCCAGGCTTAGCCCCGCCTCTCAGAGGCCTGAGCCCGGGGGGCGCGCGAGGCTGCGGAGGGCGCGGGGGAGGCTCGGGGACTCGTGTACCTGGCAGTCTCGCAGCGACGCCGGAGCAGCCATGGCGCAGCGGCAGCCTCCAGGGTTGTGCTGGACGCCTCTCCGCCTTCCGGAGGGGCAGGGTCCGAGGCGGGGCGGCTGCGCCCCGTGCGCTCACTGGTCGGGAGCAGACGAACCCGGGCCCCAGCCTTGGCCGCGCACCCGCCCCGAGGAACCTCCACCGCTGCCGGTGCGCCCTGCTGGTTCCTGGAGAGGCCGCGCCTCTTCTGCCGGCCGGAACCTGCGGGCTCCTGGGTCCTGCGCTCACGTGAACCACCGCGCTCACCTGCCTCTCCTGTCCAATTGGAATTCCAGGAAGGCGACCCGGGCTGTGGCCTAGGAGACCTACAGGGGTGCGCCTGTTCCGCTGCTCCACCTGCCCCTCAGAGCTCTGGCCAAGGGTCTCCCCTCTTGGAGGGTGGTCACAGTCAGAGTTTCCGTGCACAGCCATCACTGCTAAGTTCTAGGAAGTTTCATGCAAAAGCACATGTACTGATAAAGAATGAACTCAAACTTTATAAATATAAATAAATACACACATATATACACACACACACATATATACACACATATCTCTATATCTCTATCTGTACCTCTGTATCTCTATCTTTATATCATCTATGTCTATGTTTATGTCTATGTCTATGTCTATGTCTATGTCTATGTCTATGTCTATGTCTATGTCTATGTCTATGTCTATGTCTATATCTCTCTCTCTCTATCCCTATCGCTATCTCTATACACACATACACCCACAGAACATATTTTGGTCAATATCTTGCACATCCCGTTTTTTGTGTTATTCTGCAGGAGTCCTAGGTCCCTCTCCCTGTCCTTGTCACCTCAAAAATATCAGCGCCCCCTCCTGCGGGGTTCATCTCATCCTCTTTGCTGCTATTGGCCTCTGATAGAATTGGGCCTCTCCCACCTCGCCCTCAGGGCTGGGCCTGGGGAGGAGAGCAAGGTGAGCCAGCAGGGATCATTCTTCCTTATTTAAAATTCTGCTATTTTGTCTGTCACTTAATAGATTTTTTGTATTAGTTTTAAAAATTTTTGTATTAGTTTTGATTTTCAAATTATTACATTAAAATAGGACTTGTGTATAAGGAGCAGAAGTAACATGGAGAAGTTTTAGAGTCTGATTTTTACGTGGTTCATAAAGGGGAACTTTCCTCATCAGTAATATCCATAGTACTAAACAAGTAGCTCATGGTCAGACACGCCACCCCACATTTTCCTGCATCTATTTCTATGAATCATTGGGTCCAGTGTTGCAAATTGACTCACTCGGAGAGTTCACTGACTTGTGGGGTTTATAGGTTGGGGAAGGGTGAGGCAAAGAATATCCCACAATGCAAGTCCAGGTTTGGTTTAGCAGTCCCAAGCCAGATTACCATGACAACACAATTCCTCAATTAGTTCAGACAGCTTCTCAGTCAAGAAATTAAAGTCTAGGTTCAGTGCAGCAGCACAAATAAACTTCTGGTCTCCTCAGTCATCTTAGGACAGTTACAAGTCAGCTTTTCACTCAATCATCCAGCAAGGAAAACCTTTACCTGTGGCTCCATCTCCAAGGTTCCTCTGGTTACGTCTTGCCACAGTCTCTTCACAGTAGTGCTACAGTCTTTTTTTCACTCTCCATAACCGCCTGTCAGTGTGGAAAGTGCTCTCCCTTACATTGGTCCCACAGCTATTGATGATTTTCAAGACCATGTGTTCATAGTTAAAGTTGCTGGAGACCAAGCCTCCAACAGGCACCCAGTCAATGGATAGAAAGACCACAACTTGTCATAAGATGGTCCTGGTTTGTGCCTCACAGCAGAGGTATACCACAGGTTGCCATTTCAGTGTCAGCCAAAAATAATTCATTGATTCATTTCAGCGAGTATCATATGAACCAGAGCCAATGACAATGAAGGAAGAAGTTCAAGCTGCATTGAAGGGATTGGTGAAAAATAAGACCCCAGGAATCAATATGATACCAATGACATGTTTCAGCTAACAGATGCAGCCCTGGACATGCTCACCAGTCTATGACAGGATGTTTAGAAGATAGCTATGTGGCCAAGTGACAGGAAGAGATACATGTTTGTTCCCATTCCCAAGAAAGGTGATCCAATAGAATGTTGATATTATCAACCAGTATCATTAATATCATGTTCAAACTAAATATTGCTAAAGATCATCCAAAATGAGCTAAATCCGTACATTGACAGAGAACTACTAGAGGTTCAAGCTGGTTTACAAGAGGTCATGACACCAGTGATATCATTGCTGATGTCAGGTGGATCCTGGCTGAAAGCAAAGAATACCAGAAGAATATCTGCCTGTGTTCTATCTATACAAAGACATTTGACTATGTGGATCACAGGAATCTGTTGTTAACTGGACATAGAAAGAAAGTGGGGACACGAGGAAATGAATTGTGGAAAAGAGTAAGGCAGAGACAGAGCTCCTCTGTGAAAAGGCCCCTTTCTTAGTCTCCCTGTGGTTTTTATTTAGAGTTTTTAAAATGTAATTAAAAAATCCTATCTCATGAGGCTATATTTTCCTTATGTGTTTCCAACATAACAATGGGTAAGCTTAATTTTTAAACCAAGACCAAAGTTCAGACACATTATTTCCTCCAGTGGGAGGCTGAGAGGAACCTTCTTTTTGCAGAGGGCACTCAGTTCTGCCTGGACTCTGATCTCAGCTGTGGCCCAGCTATCACTATGCTGACCTATCCACATTTCCCCCTCTGTTGTTTAAGCATCATCTAGTCATCAAGGTAAATATAGCTTCTCTTCTTTTTTCCATTATTCTTTTTTTCTTTACATTTTTAATCTTTGACATAATAGCACAAAAATAAGGACTATAAAATAAAACATGATTATAGAAAAACTTCCAGAAATTTTAACATAATCAAAAGGATTAAAATTAGAGATTCCTTCACTTATTTATTCCAGAAAATCAGTATTACTAAATTTTCTCAATTGTTCATTAAAAGGATCTTGTAACTTTAACATCTCATCAGTTAAATTACCATGATTCAGGATATGTTTGCGAACTTTGTCCCACCACTATTATTCCATACAACAGGGGTCATACAAAATTGAGTAGTATTCCAGTCACATTTTAATTTCAATTGTCTCTATAAGTTAGTCATCTGATTACCTATCATAAATACTGACTGTTCTAAATCAGTTAATCAATAATTGATTTCAGAATCTATATGTCCTTGAGATGACCATAATTTTTCAGAATCACTGTGCCATTGTTTGACATAATCTACTGTTTGAACACCTTGATACAGAGTAACTCCTGCAGTAGCTGCTGTAGCCGTTATGGCTATGATCCCTAAAACAGCGCCAATTAATACTCCAATAAACCTCTTGCTTCTTTTTAATAACTGATTCACGAGATGGTCCAAAAGCATCATCTCACGAGATGACTGCTATTTGTGACCCAAATTAACAGGAAGCCACAACCCAATTCTAGATCTCAAAATATATATACTCTTATTAAGCGGTAGAGAAACAGAAGAATTTAAACAAGTGTACAGAGAACATTTGCTGAAAGTTGAAAGTTAAATTAACTGCCTCCTGTTTAGTAACTCCTTTTAAGAAAACATTGGGTAATGCAGCACAAATAGCTACAAATTCTCAGGAGACATTTGTTGACCTGTGTTCTTAATCACTTTTCCCCCTTCCTCTGACAGCTTCCTTATGGCTCGAAGTCAGAGTCTCTGCTTTCCTGGTCTCCGGTAGCAGTCCTTTCTTTTGTCATTTCTCTAACGTTAGCAGATTCATCCATTATTCTATCTTCGTCGAAGTATGGCCTCTTTGGGCTTATCTCGGGGTTTCACGTTTCTGGATGGTACCCACAATGTTTCTGTGCCTGTGGAAATATCAGCAAATTCTCAACCCTAATGAATGACAAGTCCCTTTTTCTATTCATTAGTTAGAGGTTCTCTAAAATATATATGCCTATTCAGCTCTTTGATTGATTGTAATATCCAAAGTCTTTCGGCTGGAGTTTTTCTTTTCTCATTGTGTTGTTGTTAAGTGCTATCAAGTGGTAGCAACTCATAGCAACCCTATGAACGAAAGTCCTCGACAGTTGAGTGACTTTCATCCTTTCTCCACATTTGTAGGGTTTCCTGAGGCAAGCTATTTACGGAAGTGGATGCCACTCTTGCTTCCAAGCTTGTTTTAATCGGGGAGCTCCACCAAACACTCTCCGCCATGGGTAACCATTAACACATTTGACACATCAGTGTCACAGTGTTCAGCTTCTTAGCAACCACAAGTTACCTCCGTATGGCAAGTGGACACAGCAGGGCTGTATGACTTAGAAGAATGTCTGAACAAAAACAATGAAAAACAGGCCTGACCACAGATTAGAGTCACCTACCTTTGGCTTGGTAGCATCACTTTTGTTCCACTAGGCTGACTGATCTCTATGTTGATGTTATTGTTGTTAAGTGCCGTTGAGTTGTAGGTGATTCATAGCGACCCTGTGAACAAAAGTCCTCAACACTTGTGTGACTTTCATCCTTTCTCCAGGTTCATAGGGTTTCCAGAGGCAAGATATTATGGAAGTGCGTGTCACTCCTGCTTCCAAGCTTGTTTTAATTAGGGAGCTCCACCAAACACTGCCCGCCATGGGTAACCATTCTCACATTTGACACATCAGTGTCACAGTGTTCAGCTTCACAGCAACCACAAGTTACCTCTGTACGGCAAGTGGACATACCAGGGCTGTATGATCTAGAAGAATGTTTGAACAAAAACAATGAAAAACAGGCCTGAGGGCCACAGATTAAAAGTCACCCACCTTTGGCTTGATAGTATCACTTTCTGTCCACTAGGCTACCTGATCTCTCTCTATGTTGATGTTATTGTTGTTAAGTGCTGTTAAGTCGTAGGCGACTCATAGTGACCCTGTGAACGAAAGTCCTCAGCACTTAAGTAAATACTGCTTTTTGTAAAATAAGGCAAGATGTTATTCATCCTATTCCATCTCCCCTCTTTTTATTTTTT